TCTGTGATAAGTAAAGAAGGAATCCCCTCACTGAGGGCTTTCAAGGTGCAGGGCATACTGAAAGGGGTACAGGGTGAGAAACAGGTGGAATTGTTGATTGATAGTGGGGCCACCCACAACTTCATATCACAAAAACTGGTGGAACAATGGGGAATACCTTATCAGACTATTCCGGGGTACAATGTGCAGATAGGGAATGGGGATGAGGTAACCAATAATGGCAGATGTGAGGGTTTGGTTCTCAGAGTACAAGTCACTATTATCCGGCAGAATTTCTATATACTAGAACTTGGGGGAACTGACTTAGTCCTTGGAATGGAGTGGTTAACCACATTGGGGGATGTAGAAGTGAACTTTCAGAAGCAAAGAATACAGTGGCAACAGTTGGGGACACATCAGATCATACAAGGAGAACCCCAAGTAAATTCTATTGAGATATCCTTGCAGACCATGGCACACATCATACAGGATTCGGGGGATGGATATCTTATATTTTGTGAACACAGGTTAGAAGAAGGAGAGAAGAAGCTAAAAAGAGACCCCATTTGGGAAGAGATAATGGCAGAATTTCCAGAAGTAACAACCAAGGAGGCTTTTCAACCAGCATTTCTGAAAGTTCTAAAGAGATCTACTGAGAGAACAGCTGAAGTACGGATGGGTGTCCTTGAAAAGGTTAAAGCTGGTTTGCTCTGTGATTCAATTAGTGATGAAACTCCTCAGATTATTTCTGTTTTATGGAAGATACTGATGGATTATGATGAAAATGCTCATGAGAAAAGAAGTGTTGTTTTCTGTAAGGTAGCACTGTAGCAGGTGGTGCCTTATCATCCATATATTCTGAAAGAGTCAAGGCAGCTGTTGTGAGACTTAGGAACACATATGTCCTCCTGAAAAGATATACATGGGAGAGGCTAGCTGAGGTATACAGAAACCATGGTTTGAGCGGCTCCAGTAGGGTGAATAAAAGCTATGAGTTTGATTGGATCCCTGGGAAGATGTTGAGGTGTGATTATAACTGTGATTTCAGATCAGACGCTTTTGAAATTGTTCAAGGTCTTGACCAAGATGAGGTCAATTCTCTTAAAGAGAGGTTGGAAAACAAGCAAAGGATACAACAGGAGATGCAGAGGCCGGGAGATTCAAACTTTTGCAGCACCAGGGAGCATTCTGCCACCAAGATATTTCTGCTCCTTGCAGTGAAGAACAGGAACATGCAGTTTCAAGCTCTGTTTGGTAAGCTGCAGCAGTTAGCAACTGTGGCTGGTGACGTACTAATTGGGAGGGAGAAAATACAGAAGGTTTTGCTTGCCAGGCTGATTGAGAACGGGGTCATGTGGCTGTATGATGAGCAAGCATTTTGGCGTGTTCTGGAGGATAGTTCTGCTCCTCTTACACAACATGGATTGCAGCAGATAATGCTGGATATGCACTTCACCGGAGAGATAGCACGGTTTGCTGGATACCCTTCCAGGATAGTGCATCAAATAGCATCTGATATAATGCCTCGTGCGATCAGGACATTTTCTGTTAGGGGCATTGCACAAAGTGCTCTACTAAAGGATGAGTGGTTTGTAGAAACAGCAAAAAGAGAAATAAACAAGCTTCTTTTGGGTGGGAAATCCGAGAGGTACTGGGAAGGAAGAGGTTCCAGGATGAAGAGGAAATTCAAGATCAAGGCTGTGTCCTATCATCCACCTTGAGGACAAGGTGGTTGTTTAGAGGGGGAGTAATGTTAGGCATCAGCCTAGTCAGTATTTTGATAAGGGGTATGAAAGGAGAAATAAAGGGGTTGGGGTCAATTAAAGAATTACTTTATCTATTTTAGTTCCTGCGTGGACTTAATACTATAAATAGAAAAGGGGGGTAGCTTAATAGAGTAGACTGTTATTTTGATATTGATCGTTGCCTGGGAGAGTGGTCTTCTCGAACAGACTGGTTGCCTTGTTGCCTACGGTTTACCCTCTATTATCAATACACACTTCTACCGTTACCATTTGATCAGATCGGTGTATCAGTTTACTGTTTTAGTTTTCCTTTTGTGACTGTGCTTATCAGTAACATACACTAAATAAACTCAAGTACCTTTTCATCCATTACCACTAAATAAGTAATTCATGACCTAAGGTATTGATTCAAAATAGCACACTTCACTTGGTTGTTCCTAGAAGAAGAACCACATTTCTTTTGAAGTCGAGGGTGCATCTAGAGTATTGGTCTTCACCAGTGCCATGATGATCTAAGCGAAACTATATACCAAATGCAGCCGATGATCTAAGCGAAACTATATACCAAATGCAGCCGATGATCTAATAGTTTGAATGATCCATAGGGGCCATGGAAGATAGCATCATAGTGACACTTTTAGAGTGAATAATGTAAACATGTGAGAAATATTGCACTTCATCACATAATTAGCATGAATTTCCTGAAAGTCAATCCTAGAATGAAGTGCTAATCTCATCTATAGCTAAATGATACCTGAAATGCTTTAGAGATTTTTTTTGAAGGAGATAAACTTATATGTTTCTTATATATACATAGATCTTACCTTCATATCAACTTTGAAACATTGAACTTAGAAGCTATAAGACCATACATAGATGAGAGAGCATGCTATTTGGAGCACAGCAGCTTGTGCATGCTATTTGGAGAATTTCAAATATGAAAATTTATAAGTATATGGATTCAATAACCTTAGCATCCAAAGCTGCAGATGTATTCATTTCAGATGCATACTCACTTTTATTAACAAATAACAATTAAATGAATAAACTTGATTTACTGAATAAATTTCAGAAGGAGCTGGCTTTAAGTATCTCTTTAATGTCATATGAAGGCAAACATGGCTAATATGTATCCCTTTAATAATAGTGAGCTTTATATCACTTCACATGTTGATATTTGAGGATCTTTCTTTTTTTCTTCTATTTTTCGGATTGGATCTATTGATATAGAATCAAATTTAGCTACATTAGCTACATCTAGGAGAGTTTCAAATCACACACTCCAATTATCTCTGTCCTTGCAATTGAGAATTAAGAATAGTGTAGGGTTGAATTTGGTGAAAGTAAAAACCACCATAAAAGGAAATGTTTCATTTTGTAATGCAAAATAGAGTAGAATCCAATTTTCTACATTCAGTCAAAGTGAGCTCTTATTCAAAATATGCAATAGTTCATTAAAATATTCAGCAATGATTTCTTAGGAAGAGGACTTAGGCGTATTAGTGATTGATATAATAGCTTTATTAGGAAATTTCAATAAAGCATTTGGACCATTTTAGGAATTGCAGATTACTACTTACGGTAACAGCGAAATGAGTTCCACATCCATCCAAGTTTTTTTGTCCAGAGAGTAACCATATGTAAAGAATAATTTAATCAAAGTCATTGCCCTTGTCTTTCTTTATAATGTTACCTAAAAAAGACAAAGAAATAAAGTTAAAATATTATGAATATACTCAAACGGATATGAAATTGGTCCAAAGCCAAGAAATCCTACTTGGTAACATTCTTAAGTTAGACAGAATGATAGGGTAACTTACTAACTCCAATCTAGTAGATAACCACAAACTATACCCCATATCCAGTAGTCTTCTGAATTAATACTTGAGCTCTTGAACCCCTGGAAATCCTTGGCTGACATCAAGGTTCAAAAAGAAAAGAACTAATCATTCAAAAACTTTTTAACTTCAGGAGTTCTTTAAAACTGGTGTTTAAGCTTAAATGAAGTTTATTTAGCATTTAGATGACTGTTTTTCTAGCTCTTGTGGTGTTCTCATTCTCACAATCTGCATATTCTATTATAAAGCATGATGAATGACCAATATATCCTGAAACAAACTAGTTTTTAGATGTTTGTCTAATTAAACTTCTATACATGTAATGAAGAACAAAAAACTTGTCATTAAAAAAATTACAGCCTCAGACCCTTGTGCGCTACTTTAGGAGTAGAGGTAAAAATCTGGTTTATAAAATATATATCTAAGGATTTTTTTACTGTATTAGATGGTGTTGGAAACTTTTAACATCTTCACTCATTGCCTATGGTCGTATATGGTTTTTGTCTAATATTGCACAAAACTACATTTCCTCGGATATAACCCTCATATTTGCTGATTTAAGAAATAAATAAAGATCATTAAGGCAAAAATACCTGGGATTTGGAAGAACCTCTGTGTCCAAGCACCTATCTACGGAAGAAGTCGGTCGACCTGGTCGATTGAGGGCACCTGGATGGCTGTGATATCTCAACCATTGGGATGTCTGAACCATCTGCACCTGGATATGAGGTAGGAAGGTCGGCTTCAATGGGAGAAATGAAATAGGAGAGGAATGGCGAAGGATTCCAGACAACCATAGAGACTGATTGAATTAAAGGAGGAGAAACGGTTGGTTGGGGAAAGAGGTCAAAGAAACGGTGGAAATATCTGTATGCGTATGATTGGGAAAATGAATGAGAAGGATAATGGAGAAGGATAATAGATACTGATTGAATTGAAGGAGGAGAAACGGTGGACATTTCTGTCTGCGAGCCATTGAGAGAAATGAAGGAGAATGGAGAGGCGAAGGCAATGGTGGAGAGATTTCCCTGAGCGAACAAATGAGATGCAACTGGTGATATGCAGGAATACTGTTCAATAAACAGTAAAAAATGTATGCTTTTATGTATAAAATGAGAGTGATCCAAGTGGATCATAAACCACATTTAAGTTCTCCCATCGTGGGAAAGCCTTGAGTTCAAGTCAGCAATAAAGTGGATTGTTGAATGGTTGCCTGAATGGTTGTGTAATTAGCATGAAAGTTAGGTTCTTGTCAGGAACCTTACCATACTGATTGCTGACCAATGAGTGATAATTTTGCCAGGTGCTCCGCTGACAACTAGTGTATGAACATAAACGGATAAGAACGATTTCTTATACTTGATAATGTAATATAAGGTGTTTGAACCCTAATAGATTCTTCAACCAAACCGCAATTTACTTTATCAAAGTTCAAGGATGGAGCAAAACCACGATCATATGATATTAACAAAACATGAACTAAATTATAGTTGTGGACTACAATCCTCTTAACATCACAAGATGATGCTAAAGGACACTTACTAAAAATTAAAAGCTTTATTAAATAGGCACAATGGGTTTACACAGCCATAACATTACTGCTGGAAATTATTTCAATCTCCAGGAAATCTCCAAGACTTTGATAGACTAGATCAGTGCATCAGGAGTTGGAAAGCCTCGTTTCGTGTTTCCACAGCATACCTGTAACCCAAAGTACTTGCTCGATGCTTAAATTCTTCCAACTCATTGTCCGCAACTTGAAGGGCAACTAAAACATTTGCACCGCTTTCTCCCTTTTTGATAATTGCAAATTAGAAGCATTAGTTCAATAATAAACTATTGTGCGTTTAGATAATAAAACTAGGGAAAAAATCATAAGAACAATCTCTTCTTTTAGGGATTCTACAATAACAATTTGTACCGAGAGTGTTCATAAAAATAATCCGTACTACCAATAGCGTCCCCAAGAATAAATTGGGGTGAAATCAAACTAATGTCCCTTTAATACTCCCACCCCCTACTCCTATTATTCTCTTCCCCGCTCTTCTTCACAGAGTAAATTCAAACTAAAAAACGTTTAATATCAACATCATTTCCACCATATGTGGTTATCTTTAGGTTGAAAGATAGAAGTGTTAAAAGGGAAACAGTTTGAATTCACCCCAATTTATTTATGTGAACACTGAACACTATTGCTTGTTTGGATTATTTTTATGAACACTCTTAGTATGGATTATTATCGTAAAATCCCTAAAGTAGGGATTATTCAAGTGGTTGGAAACGGGACCTGTGAACGGTAATGGAACAAACTTATATTCCAACGTGGGCTGAAAGCGTTTAAGAATTCCATTAGAGCACCAGGCCTTTCTGGGAAGACAAACCGGCAAAGAAGTTCATCTTGTACACTTGATCGACCACCAATCTGAAAGAGATTGAATGGAAAAGGTTTCAAAAGAAGCCCTTAATCCCCATTCCTCATGATGGGAAATAAGTCCAATAACTACACGACTTTAAATCAATCAAGCAGGAGTACATGGTTGTGCTTAATGCATAGTGACGCAAAGACATTTCAGTTGCAGTCCTGACAATTTTAATGCATAAAACATGGCAGGAAAAAGACATTCTGACGATAGCAGAATAAAAACAAATTTGAAACCAATATAATCGAACAAGGCACACTTCCAAATGATTTCAATCAAGGAGACATTACCAAATGGCGTAGATGATCTTTGACAAGGTCATTATCCGTAAGATCAAGGGTGTGAAATTGAGAGAGTGTCAACCTCTCCAGCATTGTCTCAAGTTCCTTTTTTGTATGCAGACCAACACTGAAATTTTTCAACACCACAAAGGAATCTTTTTCGAAGCAATTCACGATAAAGATAACATTTGTAAAATAGTGATTTACAGAAATCGTTTGTAAAATCACACTTGCCTGTATAGAACCAGAGTTTTTCCTTTTTCACAATTATATCTGTATCTAAATTCAGTAATGTTCATGGGTCCCATCTGCAAGTGGCAGACATATGCGTCAAACCAAACATAGACTAACTGAATAATATAAGCATAGGTTTACACAATAAACAAAAAGAAAAGATCTTTTTTGTATACGTAGTAATTGGTAATACTTTTTTATGATGTTACGTCTTCCTTCATTTAATGTCCCTTATTTCTTATTCAATCACAATTTAATAAGACAAATATGTCAGATTAAATCATGATATGTACCACATGATTACTCAACTAGGATTTCAACAAAATAGCAACTTCAGAAATGGAGAGGAATCGGGTATGGCATAAAACGGCATATGATGTTATTTTTAGACATTATGCATAAATGGATGGATGTAATTCAGAAAATTAATATTCTTCAATGATATGGTCACGTTTAAGTCCAAAATGCAAGCTTTTGAATAGTTTACTTCAAGTTCTAGGTATATATTTTGTTGTAAAATCTTTTTATTAATATCCTTCTGAAACGCACAGTACCATTTTGATGCACGATTAAGAAAGAACCACGATTTAAAAAAGATTGTCACAAAAAGAACTATACTCAACTCACAAGTTCAACAAATTTCTTGAAACTCCCTGATTCTTCTGGAAGATTGGTTGCAAGGACAGCTTCACGTTGTCTACCAACATCTGCTAGTTCAGTCACCAACCTTAGTCTATCAAAGTTCATGTTGGCCCCACTAGTTATAACAACTATATTATGATCCTTGTGGTTGTAATATTTGCAGTAAGCTTCAGCTCCTGCAAGAGCAAGTGCACCAGCTGGCTCTAAAATGCTCCTTTTCTCCTCAAACATGTCCTATATAGAAGAAAAAGGAACTATTTACCTAAGTAAACTACTCGAAAAGACACTCAAGGTTTGCCTCATGCTTATATACTAGACTCACACGCAAGGTAGTCAAAGTCGTGAGGCGCAATCAAGGCGCTAGAGTACTCAAATCACCTGAGGCGCAAGGCACAAAAAAAACGCTCACCTGACTCATGTTAGGCGCACCTTCTGTATACTAAAAAATATATACCATACTTATAATTCTAAAGTATAAAACAAGTTAGAGAAAGGAACAAACAAAATTAAAAGAAGAAAATTGTTAGTTAGGAGATAAATATAAAACAGAAGAAGAAAATGGCAGATAAAAGAAAGAGAAAAGATAAAGATATAGACTTTTAAATGATGAGATAAAAATAAAGACAGAAGATATAGATTTTACATTCAAAAGGAAAAAATAAGAAATAAGTAAAGAAGAAATTAAAAAGACCAGAAAGAAGATGGAAAAAGTGGGAGGAGGGGGTTACCTTGTGTAGGTTGTGGGTCGAACACAGGAAATAAGAATGCAACGGTGAAAACTTTCTATGTTTAGTAGACTCCTCAATACATTGACTAAGAAGGGTTTTAACAAGGTTTAAGTTGTTTTTCCCCTATTAGTTGGATGAGCTATATCTTATTATTGATATAGGTTTATTTAAAATAGGCCCGGATCTTATTTTAAAAAATTCAGAACCCTTTACCAGTCCAAGCGAGTCAGGCGTGCGCTTCTAGCGCTTCTGCGCTTATATTGCGCCTCAACCAGACAGCCTAGCCTCACCTGGAAGAGTATAAGGCGCTATACCTCTATAGTCTATAGCGCCTCGCCTGGTGCGCTTAAGCGACAAGGAGCATGCTTTTGACTACCCTGCTCACACCCAGTACACAATCAATTAGAGATACTACTCAACAATGTGTCAATATACACAACTCCAATCTGTAGTGATTGATTTGTTGTCTGCTTAAAATCTTAAAAGACATAAGCACGGAGAGGCCTATGGAGTCCAAAAGAGAAAGGGAATGAATAACCTTTATTGAGGCACAAATAGCATCACGGCTAACAAAAACCACGCCATCTATTAATTCTCGGCAGATACGGAAGTTCTCTTCGCCTACAACTTTAACTGCCACACCATCTGCAAAACCTCCTACTTGATCCAACATTATTCTTTGACCGTGATGTATAGATAAAGCCAAAGCATTTGCATCATATGGTTCAACTCCAATTATCTTCACATCTGGATTCACCATTTTCACATACGCAGCAATGCCTGCAATAAGCCCACCCCCACCAACTGGCACAAATATGGCATCTATTGGACATTTAGCTTGACTCATGATTTCCTTTCCAACTGTACCCTGCCCCATGATTATATCAGGGTGATCAAAAGGGGGGACAAATGTGAGTCCTTTCTGTTCGGCCAACCATTTTGCATGTGCTTGTGCTTCATCGTATGAGTCCCCTTCAAGAACAACAGTGGCCCCTAATCTCTCCACCGATCTCCACTGCTTGAATAAAAAAACAGGATATGGTAACAGGTAAAATAACAAATAAGGGCTGCATAACCTAATATATTGAAAGGTGAAACTCTAACCTTGATCTCTGGTGTAGTAACAGGCATCACAATTACAGCGTCGCAGCCAAGTTTATGGGCAGATAATGCAACTCCTTGAGCGTGATTACCAGCAGATGAACAGATAACTCCACGGTCTAGTAACTCCTTCGGGAGCCTGGCCATCATATTATAAGCTCCTCGAAGTTTGAATGAGAAGACCTGCCAGCGAGGTCAGGAAAACAGGGATTTAAAGACACTTAAAAAAAATATTCAATGACATTTAGCCTCTAACAATTTGTGGAGTAACCAATAGAGGGTGATAGGCAAAACTGTTAACACAAAACAGAGACAAACGACGTCATATTTATGTATAGCAAAAGAAAAGAAAAAAGGCTAACGGAAGATTGAAGAGGAAATAATTAAAAAGGACATACAGGTTGAAGATCCTCCCTCTTGAGCCAGATGTTGTTCCCCAACCTCTGCGAGAGCTTCGAGGCTAGCTGCAACGGCGACTCAACCGCTACATCGTAAACCTTAGAAGACAAAATCCCAGTCAAATACTCGATACCACTGTAGCAATGAGAGGCATTCCCGTCGGGAGAAGAGAGATTCGGTATAACGCATCCCGGCGCAGAAGTCAACGAGCTTGGAGAAACTAATAGCAATTCAGCAAGCGGTGCAGGCCTTAACTGCTTCTCCGTGGATGTGGATGCAGCGGACAAGACCTCCGTGGCCGCCGCCCTGGAGAGGGCAGAGCAAATAGAGGCTCGGAGAGTTGTTCTCCTTGCATCTGCGGATTTGACAGTGTAGTTGGAAGTAATGGCGGTGGCCGGCGGGAGCAGCAGCAGGTGGAAATTGGGCGACTGTGTATGGCTAAAGCGAACAACGTCCATTAGAGCGGAAATTGGGCGACTGTGCGTCGCCTAGTTTTTGGACTGTCGCTTGGTGCAATTCATTCACTATTTATAGAGCAGAAATTTGATGTTTTTAACATCTGCTGCCGTCCTTCGATACATTCAAAACACAAAACATCTACCGTCCTTTTTATAATTCTCACCAACCAAAATATACATCGCTTTACTCTGCCCTAATTATTTATTTACATAGCAGATATTTATTGTCAATACGGAGTATATCGTTTTAGTCTGCCGAATCTAGTATTTTTTTAAATCTCTGGAAAATGATTGTTTTTCATTCCCGAGATTTGTATATTATTTTCTTTAGAAATTGTTCTAAATAGGAGCAAAAACGTTTTGAAATTCAAAAATAGGAGTATCATGTTTTTTATTTCCTTAATAGGAGTAATTTGCCGAGTTTGGAAGAAAATGCCATGTTTTAAAGCTAGCAATGCCAAACTTGGCAGAAATTTACTCCTATTCAAAGAATAAAAAACATGATACTCCTATTTTAGAATTTCAAAACTTTTTTACTCCTATTTAGGGAATTCTCCCTATTTTCTTTTTTTCCATCTATAACTGTTTGCATAAAAGTAGAGTTGTTTTTTCCCTTTTAGACTTAAATTTGATAGTCTGTTCTGTTAAGTCTGGTAATGTCTGGTCTCTGTGTGTTTTACATAAGTGTGGTATGTTCTGTTTAAGTGTGGTCTGGTCTGATCTGTTTAAATCTGATCTGATCTGGTCTAAGACTAAAAACAGTCCAAAAAAACATCTTTATATACTCTTTCTGTTCCTTAAAACTTTGCCAACTTTCCTTTTTTGGATGTCCCACTGACTTTGTCGCTTTCCCTTTTAAGTAAAGAATTTGTGGTTCCAGTTAATTCTTTCTCCTCTGCACAAACCTCAACCACACAGTTTTTACTTTATTAATCTTCGTGCCGGTCAAACTTGGCAAAATTTTAAGGGACGGAGTAGTATATTCTAACTTACTGGTTTTTCACCTTGACGGAATTTTAAATTATAAATTACTTTTGATGTCATTTAATTTTTTCAAATGTTTTTGAATAATGTACTCAAAATACTCTAGAAATGCACCTCTAATATGAGCGGATAAACACGCTACAAATATTATTACTTAAATACAAATGATTTATAGTAATTCTCCTACATAATTGTACTACTTTGTGGAATTTCATTTTCCCGCTCATTCTCGCTCAATCTGTCACCCGCACGATACACTCATCATAGCTAGGGCTCAAATTGCTTAGCGGTTCCATCCTCAGTTCATTTTTTCATATCTCCATTTCCCTGCGTCTCCTATCTCGGATTATCTAATCTAACCGCAATTGCCTTCTTCGTTCGTTCAGATTTTGATCATCTAACACAACTCCCATTTTGCTTTCGAATTTTGTACACTCTCCTTCATCAGCATTCATCGGAACTCGCTCCATCCGTGCGGCAACTTTACTTCTCCTCTCTCTACCAGCTCGTATATAATGAATTAGACAGAGCAAAGTGTGTTCCTCCTCCCTTTCTCAATTTCAAGATGACGGATGATAGAATATAATTCCAGCGAAAAGAGCTCAATCAATCCAATATTCATTGATCGTGGGAAAGAAAGTAATAGCAATATTATTCATCTGGAAAAGGCCCCCTTTACAAGAGATGTACAAGAGTATTTATAGGCTACAAGAACTAGTATTCCAGTATGAAACTGATACAATAAATGCTATTAATTGCATATTAATTTCAAATAGGATTCTTGTAACGTCTTAGCCATTCTTAGATAGCTATGTTGGAATGATAGCCTGTCACGTAAGCCCTATGAATATCTCAGCCTCACTAGAACTCTGTCCAGGCTCGAGGTCTTCTGTCCAGCCTGGCCTGGTTGTGGCTTCCCTTCGTGGGTTGGATCCCTAGTTAGGCCCAGTGGCTAATTAATTAATAGTAATCCTGTGAAGGGCTGATCTCGTTGATGGGCTGATCTCGTTGATGGGCTTTGCTTTAATTCAATCTTGGGCCATAGTAATGATCCATGGTACCATCACGAGTCCCTCTACTCTCTTGAGCTGACCAGACTCAACGAAAGAGAGTAATTTGATTCCTTTCTTATTCTTGAAATTCTTCATTCTTTGAGCACGACGTGGTGAGATGGAAAGGAGTAGAGTAGTGAACGCCTCATAATGACTCCTCCGGGGGATGAGGGTCGTCACCTTTTGTCCACAATGGGGAGGTGCCTTGTTAAAAATCTCACTAAGAAAAACCCAGTGGGAAAAAATCCTAGTGAGGGAAAAAGAGCACACCGGATGCCCCCAAAATGAAGCAAAAGGGTGAACCCTTTGACCAATGTATTTAGCTGCAATGACCGCCTGATGCATCCGGTATGTTCTGCCTGTGGCATCATCTTCGTTTGATAGATAACCGAGACAAGCTTGAGAGATCAATATGATAGTCTCTATCCAGATGTACCTGTGCATTTAAATAAAATTGTGATGATTTCTGGAGTTGTAATACTTAGTAATATATGAAATTTAAATTTTAAAGTTAAAGAACACTTAGCTTTTTTGACTTTATAAGTCTCGGCCAAGGATCAAACGTGGCAGCAGGCTTTACTCTTCCTTAGCGCATTCTCCTCGGCCCAATATTTTCTTTCTTGCAGTAAATCCAAACGGTGAGTCTACCTTTGTTGACAAGCCGACTTTCGTGGAGGATTTTTCCCCCGCACCGCAAAGTTTACACGCAAATCAGGTAATCCATTCATGAACCGACCAATAATCATCTGCGCCACGAGCAGAGATTTAATTTAACCAATAATGGCGGAAACCCTGCAAGAGTTCATGACGCTCACCGGCAGTGATGCCGCATATTTTCGATGTTACTGTGCAAGATCGATTTCTCCCGATCCAGACATCTTCTCACTGATCCAACCGTTCATATTGAAGTACCAGAAGTCATGAACATACTGTCAAAATTTCAGCCTGATCCAACGGTGAACGAAGTCACAGTGATGAAAAACGTGTTGCAGTGGTAGGGTTGTACGGAATTGTTTTCTTCCCTTGGATTATTTCCGTCCTCTGGGGAGTTGACCCCTGTCTTTGAATCTGTGTAGCATATAAGTTCAGGGATGGGCTTCAAGTCTCCCTGATTTCCTGTTTTCAATCACTTTTGTCCTTTATTTATTTTGCCTTGAATTTCTGGTCAAGGTCGTCTTTCCTTTATCAAGGACGACTTTACCAATTTTAGACCCTTAGGTTCTTAGCAGTTTGGCAAGGTTGGGTGGGCTTTACTTTAGGTTACTTTGACCTTGGTGACTGGCCTCTTAATTGGCGAGGCTTGTTAGCCTCTTCGGTGCAAAGTTAATTCCTTTAATTTCATCTTTAGCCTTGTAAAATCAATCTTAACCTTGAGAAAGGTTGTCTTTTCCTGTTTTGAGGAAATTTGATTTTGTTTATAAGGTTGTTTAACCTTGAGAAAGGTTGTTTTATTCCCGCTCTCGTCTTTAGCAAGACTAAGTTGAGCTTCTGGAATTTTGATGAGTCTGGAATTTGTACTTTGTCTTTTTGCGAGTACCAATTAGGCGTAGCCTTCATTTTTTTTACTGGTTAAGAAACCTTCGCAAGTAATGTATAAAGGACATTTGTGAATGAAAACGAAACCTCGATGCTTGGCTTGCCAGCTCGTGTATTCGAGCTATGTGAGTGAGATGTTCGGGCGCATCTGTCATCAGTTTGGACAGGATGTCTGCCTCGACATTCTGGGCTCACGGAACGCATATCAAGTCGGACTCTTCAAATTGTTTCATGAGTTCCAGTGCTGCATCCCTGTATTTCTGCATCTGGGCTTCTTTGGCATCATATTCCCCTCTAAGTTTTTTGATGACCAACTTAGAGTCACTCTTGATCCTTAGTTTTTGGACTTTGAAGTACCTCGCTATCTTGAGGCCTAAAAGTAAGGCCTCATATTCTGCTTCGTTATTGGATAGATTGAATAAGTACTTGAAGACATGGGATGTCTTGAAGCCTTCAGAGGTGATGAGTACCACCCCTCCTCTGCAACCTTTGGACCCTGATGATGACCCATCAGTCGTGAGGGTCCACCAATTTGTGACGTCTTTCTTCTGCCACGTCTCTGGCAGTGCATTCCACCAAAAAATCTGCCATGGCTTGGCCTTTGATTGATGTTCTAGGTTGGAAACTTACTTGATATCGGTTGATGAGCAGGGACCACTTCACACCGAGTGATGGCCGGCTTCATCTGCCGTTGTGTGGACGTCAAAGCCATGCCCCGTCTAGAGTTATTCCATCAATTTTTCAAAGTGGTCCCTCAACAAACACATGGTTTTTGGCTGTCAGTGCTCGTACGGGACATATACTATTTACCGATAATCTGACTTCTATTAAGGGGTGGAATGATCGGTTTTTCTTTGTTTCCATCCTGGACGGTTTAATCCCGAAGAAATGGAATGTTTTTCCCCGCAAAACTCCAGAACCGTTGCTTACCGAAGAAATCAGCAAAGATATCTTCGCGGTGGAGCGGGACAAAAAATGCAACATTATGAAATACTTGACTCCCGATCGGCTTGTCATTGTCGGGATAGGTACTGCCCGTATTCCTGGGTCTACTTGACTGAAAACCAAGTGCCATGGGCCGGGCGGTCCCTCCTGTGCGAGAAACGGTCCATCCCTCTTTGTTTTCCACGTGATAAGACCGCTCGGTACTAACTTTTTCCTTTGTTATTTTTTCAGCCCCCAATCCAGACACTCCCATGGATGATAGTCGAGTCATATGGATAGATGTTGGAGCTTCCATATAGCGGTTAACAAGTCCCACTCTAAAAAGAATATCGGGTCTCGTACATGCTAAGTAGCGCAAGCTCCCAACCAAAGTTTTGAACACAGTCGGATCAACTTTATCTCCTTCATCTAACTTGGAGAATTTTGTCCCATAATCGACTATGTGTCAATCGGCTTGCACCCATCCATCTTAAATTTCTTGAGGATTTTTCTTGCATAACCTTCTTAGGAAATAAATATTCTTCCATCACTTTGATTGACTTCAATTCCGAGGTAGTATGACATAAGTCCCATATCCGTCATCTCAAATTCACAGCTCATTTCTTTCTTGAAAGCATCAAACATACTTGGATTGTTACCCGTGTATATCAAATCATCCAAATATAAGCACACAATCAAAATATCCCC